TCACTTTATTTTAATAAAGTTTTGTTTTGATATATAAGTTGTTTGAGATTCTTCATATACATAAAAGCGACATTAATTTCTTGTACGGGTTACGACAACACAGGACATGTAAATGAAATGTTACAATGTATCCTCAGATGTTTGTGATATGAAATAGAGGGATATGTTTAAAACATATCGAACAGTACAAGACTGTCGAAAGAGATGTGAATAAGGCAGAAAACCATGGATATACTTTGGTAGTATAAATGAGGTGCTGGGAATAACTGCAGCATCCATTCTTAAGGTTACTGTTGAGCTTCCAAGGCCCAGGGTGGAGATAACTATACTAAATACCAAAGAGTCCATTTCCAAAGAGCGTAGAAATGATGGCGAATAAAGAGGAACACGAATATTAGTTTAAGCGGTAGTTTTGTTATACAGTCTTCATTAGGTAACCTTACTTTTTGCCATTTCTTTAAAAAACACAAAATCAATATTAGCTAGAGTTATTTATTTTAAAACATTCTTTTTAATAATCGCTTGATCGTTTTTCATTAAAAGAGCGAATTTTGTAATTACGTTGTTGCGTTAATTTTTGGACTACCCCTCTATTATAAGTAGCAACATGGCCGACAAAGTGGTAGAAGAAATAAACCTCGATGGTCGAGAAAAGTCACGACGAGCGTAATTTATTTTAATTTCATTTTACACTTGTTTCTAGATTTTAAGGAATGCTTTTCCGTGCCAATTTATTCTGTATCTTCAAGAGAGTACGCCCTTCAAATATTTCATATCAACGATACCACATAAACAAAAGGGTTCGTAATCATACTCATAGAGTCGTTCTCATGGGTAGTTTGTTTACTTGTTTAGTATTAATAAGTTTGTATTTTTACCGCTAGAGTGACATTGCAGTTTTCTGTATTGCACCTTGTGTACTGTATTTAAGAATGATGCAACATTAATAAGTCACATTTGTAATAAGTAGAAACGCACGTGTTATCTCGATAAGTCTTAATTCATCACTTCAGTTTAAGTGTTATCGTTTATTGCGCTAATGAAAGTACAAATAATTGCGTGTAAGTTGAATAACAACAAAAGGTGTTCTATTTTAAGTATTTAATAATTTACTGTAGTGTATTGCTAGACTATACTGAAATTACTGTTAATTATTAATATTATTATCATGTAATATTTTGTACTTGTAGGGATAAATTGTGTTCGTGGAGTGATAGTGATTGTCAATAAAACAAATGTTTAAGGTGTGTTAATATTAACAGTGAACACAGTATAAGGCAAATCTGAAAAGGCACATGTAGATTTAAGTTAGTACAACTACAAGTAACATTATTTGGTCATTTTCACCATTGTGTTTACTTGGTTTTAAACTTGTAAAAGCTGTATATGTAATATGTATTAATCGTGAATTACAGTTATATTACAAATTTAATATTTCAAATTTTAATATTACAGCAGGCCTGTAGAGGAGTCACCTACACAGTCCTAGCTTTTAGTTTGAACCATTTAGTGTTTTTACTGTATGCAATGAGGAAAAAGATGATAAAGAGGTTTTCTTTGTGGGAGACTATATCATTAAATATCTGGATAAAGCTATTTGTAGTGGAGACTGAAAAGCAATAGAAAATGAACACTATAGCTTGCTTGCCAGGTCCACTGTTAGAGAATAAGATATTGTATGGACAGTTCAATTGCTGTAGGAGAAAATAATGTTAGAAAGTGTACTTCACAGTAGTTGCTTCAGAGATTTAGTGTTAGAAAAGTATTTGTGCACCTTTCGGACTGCTGATTTGGACTAGATTCAGAAATACATTGTGTAACAAGATAAAAAAGCTTAAATAAAAGAAAGGATATGCTTGGAGTTGGAGCAACTGGTAGGATTGTTTTTAGGGTAGGGTTGAATTCTTTGCTAGAGATGGGCTTCACTTAAGCAGATTAGATAGTAAGATGTTTTTGAAGCTCTAAATATATTCTTTTAAAATACTTTATTTAAACTAAACTTTCAAGTTTCATAGTGGTGTGAGAGAGAGAGCTTAGAAAATTGAAATTAAATTTGTAGGATAGCTAGGCAACAAGGAGATTTGAATAAAGGAGATTCAGTGCTTAAGTTTAATGATAATGATTAATAAAATAGGCCAGACTTAAAGATAAGCATAGGGGATTTGAGAATAAGCTTATTTGCTATTATTCTAATGTTAGAAGTAGTAGAAATATAATAGATGAGTTCAAGGGTCCAAACTAAACAAAGTTTCCATAATGGGTATTATGAAAACTTTGGTTAGTTTGGAGAATATTATTAATATAACTTATTTTGAAATTCTAAGTTAATAGTTATAGACCTTTTAAGAGAGGGAGTGGAATGGATCTTCATATGAGTTATGGAATTGAAGACACAAATGATATTCTACAGGTTGATTTTTGTGAGTGTCATGATTTTTTATTTTGTGTATTTTCAGTGAGGAATTTCAATGATAGAAAATTTTAGTGGTAATTGTTATAGGCTATCTGATCAAACAGAAGGTGTCATAAAAGGAAAAAATCTATAATAATAATAACAGAGGAAAGAACATAGAGACCTGAAATTTGATATGCTCACTATGGGGATTCTGAGGGTTTACACTTGGGTATTGTTTACTATATTTGATGCAAAAATATTTTGGCCAATTTTTTGCCCTATAGCCCTTAAGCCCCATGCTTCTGCTTCCTGAAAGTCTGTAGAAAAGTGTCATATTTTTTCTAATTCTCACTTACTGAATGAACAATAGGTTCAGGCTTTCTGCCAAATACCTTTTTTCAACACAAACATGGAAGAAAAGTAGAAATCTGAGAATTAAAGAAAAAAAGTTGATTTGAACTAAGTTTGGGAAATGGCAACAAGCATCTGTAAGAAAAATATGAATCGGAGAATATTGGAGAAATTGGAGAATGAAAATAATTTATATACAAATGCAGGAAGAAAAAAACGAATTTGAAGAGCTAAATTAAAAGTATTTGCTTTTCAATAGACTTGAATTAAATTTGGGAAATGACAAAAGACAAATCAATTACAAAATTGGTGAATTCTGGTAGCTGTAGAAATAATTAAAATATGGAGATGCTGACTGATATATTGAGGCCTCTGTGAATCATGAGGGTACCTTAGAATCCTGCGGTGGAGCATGGGTATTTTATGCTAATTATATAATAAGATCAGAGTCATTGCTAATAAGAGTAATTATGGAAGACTAATTTTAGATACATTGATTGTGATTGGATGGAGTTAGATAGTGATTGGCAGAAATTTGAAGTAATTCTGGATGGTCTTGAATACCAAATGGTCAAAGAGACAAAGAAGGTAGATGCTATTTTAAATTCATTGGAAGCACTAACAAGGTATGATTGCAAGAGCTGAAATAGGGGATTATTTGGGAAGAGTGGTCATTGTTTAATTAGGTTTGGTATTTTGGTAAATGTTGAGATAATAAAAAAAAATATTATTTTAGTTCCTAATTTTCAGAAAACCAATTTTGAGGACATGACAGAAATTTATCATTACTGAATTGGGATAATGAGTTAAAAGGTGATGTGAGACAAAGTTGTTAAATATTCAAAAATATAGTGCTTGTAAGTATGTTTTTACAAAAAGGTAATGAATATTATGGGAGATAAATCTTAATTGGTTTACTAAAAACATCAAGGAGAAAATTGGAAATCAGTTTCTTAAGTTTAAGAAGTATACATTGACAGATAGTTTGAAGATTTAGAGAACAATAGGTAAGTTAGATATTTCATTAAAAGAGAAATTGGAAAATCCAAAAATGGGCTTACGAGAAACAACCTGGCTGATAATATTAAAACTAATGCAAAGATATTTTAAGTATGTTAAATGTAAGCAAGATGTTATAATGAGAATTGGGTCATTAAAAGATGTCATTGGCAAGGTTATTATTGAAAGCTTATGAGATTTTAAGTTTTTTAACTGTTCTGTGGGGAATACTGGACTTGACATGAATTTTGTAGATATTTAGTTCCTTGATGGTAAGGAGAAAAATTAAGAGATTAAAGTAGGGCCAGATAGTTTTCTTCAGGGGTGTAAAGGGAAGTCGGAAATCAGATATGTGAGCTCCTCTCAATTCTTATAGGTCAGCAGAGAATGAGCAGGAAGTTGATAATCGGAGAGTTGTGGCACATGGTACTCCTATTTTTATAGGGGGTGATAAGAGTTGCCCTGAAAATTATAGGCTAGTTAGTCTCGTGTATTTACATAGTGGGAATATTCTAGAGTATCAAAGAAGCTTTACAAAGTAATTTAGTGAAATATGGTATTATAAATTATAGCCATAATGGATCCACTGAAAGAAAATCTTGTGTTACTAATCTATTGTCTTTTATGAAGATGTTACTTATTATCTGGAAAAAGTCAAGAATATGAACTTGATGTAGTTAGATTTTCAAGAACCTTTTGATAAGGTGCAACAAAAAATATTAGCTAAAAGACTAGTTAATTATATTTTAGGGTGATTGGATGGGCAAAAGCAGGTTATTATTAATGGAGTCCAGTCAAACTGGATCATTGGTACTAGCAGAGTACCTCAGGAGGGTCAGTTGGGCCTTTCTTTTGCCGTCATATGAATGATATTGATAGGGACATCATCAGATTATTAAAATTTTCTGTTGGAATTGAACTCTTGTGTATTTTGAAAATTATGCATTATCTTGCAATTACAGTAATTAAGTTATTTCACATTTCCTCAGATATTTGTCAAACTTAACAATTTATCCAAGTTATTCTGTAATACCTCAACATTCTCAATACAGTAGTAAATTAACAAACAATGATTTGTAAGCATAATGATATTTATGAAACATGTTACATGCTTCAACAGAACCTTGGCCTGTCTTCATCAGGTACAGGTAAAGTTGAGCAATTAGTGGTATTTTCTAAAAATATATTAATTGGTGGTCTCATTAATCCATTAAATTTGACTAATTATTTAGTATAGTTTTCCCTAAAACATGATATATATATATCACATAGAAAATAATAATTTGGTAACTTATGCTGCCAGCCAGTTGCCTTTCCCCACTAGTTAGCAGTTTGGCAACAGCAAAAAAAGAAAAAATCTTTGCCAGCCAATTGCCTTCAGACATTTTAATCAATTGGCAAATTCTGCTAACTGCCTAGCTATGTATCTAAGTCACGAGTATCTGGATCAACAAAGTCCGAAGTACCCCATCTTATGCCATGGTTTAAATGTCAAAGCCTTAGAAACCAATAGTCTAATCTTTGTGTTCAATCATGAAGGGATTAAGAGGAATCAGGGAAAAAAAACATGATTTTTTTTTAGTTTACTAGCTTTAATTCTGAGCTGTGAGTGATAGAATTGTGTTCATAATAGGTGTATTGTCTTAGCTATAATATTAAAAATTTCTGTTGTTCATTAATTGTTTTGTGCAGTGTTTTACATGTTATCGACAACCTGATTAAAAAGCTTTTGAATAAAAATATGAAAAGCAAATTGCTTGTTAACATATGTTTGAATTTTGTTATTTAAACTTTCATCTAAACTTCTCTATTCTGTTGATCTATTCACCACAAAAATCTTGTTCAGAGCTACAACCTTCACTTTCACAGTATTGTCGTAAAGTTTTTTTTTTATTATTTTGGTTACTTCAACAGAAACAGACCTTACTTGAAAAAAGGTTTAGAGAGAGTAGAATATACTTGAAAGACAGTGTTAATGAAGGAATATTTATGGGATTTTGTGTCCTTTTTAATTCACCATACAGAAACCTAAGTTAATTTAGGTATGTGAGGCAGTTTTGAATGATGATATTCTGAGCTGCCTTCACAGTTTTTCATTAAATATAATGAATATTTGTGCTAGCAGCTTGAAACATCATCTAAAACTTCCTAGAATGTAGTCTTCTAATAACACCTTTCAAGAACAGAAGCAGTATCTTTAACTTTCACAACTGGGGACTTATCCTGTTGATAAGAATTGGATTACTTTTTAAAAGTTTGAAGTAATATTAAATAATTGAACTTGTTATTTAAATGCAAACAATTTCATATACATATATAAAGCTATTGATTGTCATTCTACCTACTCATTTTCGTGATCTTGTAAAATTATGTGTATTTGACTTCATATCACCTGTCACAGTATATGTAACAAACTTGGGACACTGAAGTTAGAGCTGTTTTCATAAGTAGGTATGTTTAAAGTGTGTTTACAAATCTGTACTCGTGGAAGGTTTATTTGAAAATATGAATTTGAATGCAAATAACTTTTTTATTATAAATTATTTTTCACCTTTTTTCAGGTAAAATCGAAAAAAGAAATGGCTGAAATGAAAATGGCTGAGGTACTATGTTCATCAAAGTTAAAAAATATTGTATATGGAGAAAGTATATTCAAACATATATTCAGTTAGGTTAAATTTTATTGCGACCACCTATGGAAATAAGAACATCAGTGTTACAGCTGAATCTCAAGATTACAAATATGATATTTTCAAGCTAAATAAAAAATCAGTGTTCAGTTTTAGTACAGTTACAGTAAACCACTGAGATAAAATTTTCCACTTGTTCATTTTATTTGTGTATAATTTGGGTATGTTGATATCCAACACCTAACTAAATAATTCCACGCTTTGCAGGAATGTCATGCAGAGAATAAACTGAACATGAATAGCAAACACAAGTAATCTAATAAACAAAATTTTTATTCACTAAAATGTGTTAAATAGACATCATGTCATCAAGCATGGCATTTTCCATTTTTCTTCAGTCAAAATCTTTCCCTTTATAGTTTGTATGTCACTATCTCCACATCTACATTAATAGTAATATTTATGTTTAAAGTTAGATGCTTTTCAATTAATATATTGCTTATTTTTAGCTTTAAGTAATTTACATCAACCTTGTTCCAAGTTTATAGTAACTTTATGTAGCATTTTAATTTAATATTACTGACAGGAAATAAAAACATCAGTTGAAAATTGGTTAAATTTATGGCTGTTTGTATTGTAGTTTTTGTTGTTTTATTTGTTTATTTTTATGTTGAGCAACATGATATATGAATGGACCTTAGCAAATCTCGTATAGTGCAAACAATAGCTCCATAAATGACTTGCACTGTCATTTTGATGTTTTAGAAGTTGTAACTGTAATTGATTAATTTCCAATTTCATGTTTTTCAGTTAAATCATTTAAACATTTTGAATGTGGCATTGTGTCAGAGCTTAAAGTATTTAAATTAATAACATATATATACTAATTTAAAAGAACATTAATATTTTCTCTCTTAGAAATATTCAACATTGATTTTACACTACTTTAAGCTCTTTCCATGCCATGCAAATGTCTATTTAAGTAGATTGGCCATATCTGTACCTGAACATTTTGCAAAGAATCAAATGCGTATAAAATGCAAATATTACAGGACTGATTGCTCCTCATCTATTCTATGAAAATTAATGGCACAATCATTTGTTAATACTTTACACTGTGATTAGCGGTCATCCTAGTAATAAATTGATCAGACACTGCCAAACTGTATGGAAACTCTAAAAAGGATACATGAAACTAATGTTGATAATAAAAGTAGATAAGGTAAAAAGTCCAGAGTCAGGGTATGCCTATTGTGTGCATGACAGTATAAATGGCTTGCCAATCATCGAGTTGTTAGTACAGATATTAATATTACCTCTAGAGCAGTTAGATACTCATTAGCCATGAAGTGGTCTTGGTAGATGTGTAGTTACTCAAAAGCTGCTAATTAGAAGAGATAACCAAACCAAAAGGCTGAAATGAGACTTTAACAATGAGATGAACTAAGCTGGAGGTGCATACTCTTTACAAATTAATTGAAGTTATTTGGCAACAGTCAACAGTAATTTCTTTGATGGAAGAAAAGAGAATGGTATTGTGGTCAAAGTACAACATCTACAGTGCAACATTCTAAAGGATTGATATAAATGTGGGCTGCATCTACACCAATAATGTTGGAAATCTAGACAAAATTGATGGCACCCTGACTGCTGGAAAACACATTCTTATCCATCATTTCACTCCCTCAGAAGCAAGACCTGTTGAATAGGGATTCATCTTCCAGAAAGCCTGTGATTCCAAGCGTGAAAGGAAAAAGAGGCCAATGGAACACTTCTCACCATTGCTTGGACATCACAAAGTTACAATATCAAAATTAGTTAAGCTGTATTGGTTTATATGGAAATTGACTGAGTAGGTTAAACAGCAGCCAAACAAATTGGTTAAGTTGGGTAGTAATGCATAACATTTGAAACAATGTTATTAAAATGCTAATAAACTAATAGTTATATAGAAACAAGGCATATTATTCTGTTTCAATCAAATATATACAGTGTTCAGTGCACTCACATTTCCTTTGTATTTTCTGTAGTAATATGTTGTACAATTGGTAAAGTGACCATTTAGCTGCAATCACTCAAAGTTCAGGATTCCTGTATGTGTATCACCTGTGTATTTCCATAATTATTTGCAAATCGTGTGTGGATGTGCATATGTATGTATATGATTTTATGTTTTTTATATCTGTTTATTTCATGTTTTGTACACATTTTACAGTTAAATCCATGGCCATCCTACATTCAGGACAGAATTGAATTATGGAATCAGTTTCGTGCAAAGTATGAACAACAATTAGCAGAAAAACAGTCAGAGCCTATCAAAGTCACCCTACCAGATGGGAGAGTTCTTGAAGCCCAGTCTTGGTGTACCACACCATATCAAGTAGCACAAGGAATAAGGTAAAAAATGTATTTAGAAACTGCATTTTTATTAATTTGCTACGTAATAGATAGATCACATAGAGAAGAACTGAAACCTAAGTATTTAAGAAGTTATCCTTTTTTTTATTCCTTAATGTATTTTTAAATTTAGTATAATTAATGAAAATCCCAGAAAATTGAAATAGGTTCTGCTGTGCATAAAGAACAGGGGGAGGAAAGGTTATTGTTTTTTCTAATATATGTTTCGTGTAGACTGTTTTGGAGAAATATTAAGCTCGTGGAAATGTTGAAATTTTAAAAAAATCTATAAAAACCTGAAAATATCGTGTAAAAAATACATTAGAATATATCACAATGGAAAATTGAAATTTCAGTTTTGAATCAATATTCCATGTTTGGACTTAATGTACATGAATGTTAGATTATGCTTTCTAACTGCCTGGAAATAACACTTTTTGACTGAAAAAATCAGGAAAATTAAATTTTGGTTTTTGTGACCCTCCTAACCTACTGTTTTGTACGTGGAAAGTTAACAGTGAAGGTCTTCTGTTAATGCTAATACAAGTATGCTTGAAAACAAGGTTTTTACTTCCTTCATCATAATTAGCTTTCTTCGGTGATTTTACTTTTTTGTTATGTACTGATATGTTTAACATTTTCAAGAAAATCCCCACTAATTATTTAGTACATTAAATATTTCCATAAAACCAAAGGTTGAGACAATTACAAAACCAGGTAGAAAATGTTAATTATAAAAAAAATTAAAATAGGGCTGAAATAACCAGGTCAAATTGCACATGTCACAACTTTTTAGAGTTACATTCAAAATTTAATTAAACAACTACTTTATTATCAGTATATATGAATAACTGTGGCATCAAAATATAGTTAAAAAATACATTTTAATACTGTATAATCTTTAAGTTCTTAATTTTTTTTAGAGAAATATTTTAAAAATCCTCGACCTCCTTTAGTGTGAGAATTGTGACATTTGTTCTCTGGGTCTTTCCTCTTCACTAATTTAGTTACATCTCTCCGAGAAGTATGGAATTTATTATAAATTACACATTACTACACAGATATTACACAGGCAAAGCATAAGTCTTACAGCTTTCAATCTTATTTGTTTATGGAGCCATAAACTAGAACATCAGACTCACTTGCCACTTACTGAAAAAAATGCATGGTATTTGTTTAGGAGGTTTTATAGATTATGAAAATGAAATTTAACAATTTTAAGATGAAGAAAAGTATTTTTAATCTTGACATGAAAATCACTTTGCACTCAGAACAGTCAACAAGAAATTTTTTAGTAAAAATAATTTAAGTATATGATTTTTTTGTATACAAAAGAGTTGTAATGTTTACTGAAAGCTTGCCACATTTTGTGACGATACACAAAACATGTTAAAAGTTATAATATGGAAATGATGATGGTCACTTTGGGGTCACAAACTCAATCAAATTGACTGAGCTTGTAGTGAGAAAAATAATTCAGCTACATTATATATTTACTTTTCTTTGATGTTGATATCACCTATATTTGTCTGTTTCAAGGAAGTGTTCCACATAGAATTTTTGAAGAAAATTGGCAGTATCTACAGCGTAGTCACATGGAATTGTTTTCCATGTTATCAATTTTTAAGTTTAGTTGTTTTCATATAGTGCATTGGTAAGATTTTTCCCTGAAATTCTTTTTTGTGTTTAAAAAACCTGAAAAACAAATATTAAGTTAGAGTGATTTAAATCTGTTTTTACTAACTTGCGACTGTAGTAAAACTCAAGTTACTCAAACAAAGATTCAGATATTCTAACAAAAATAATCTTCAAATAAACTAGTTACATTGTTCCCCTGTGGGAAAGTAGTAAGTTTATAGACTTACGATGCTAAAACCTTCAGATTTAATTCCCCTTGGTGGATAGAGCATAAATAGACTGTTGTAAAGCTTTGCACTAAAAACATATTTAAGTGAAGTACATATGAATATTTGTGAAATATGTGTTGAACTTGATTAGCTATTCCTATCTGCATAGAATGTGAAAATCCATTCCTTTTTAAGTTTCATTGATTCAACGAAACTAAGGAGGCATATATGAATAAAAGTGTAAATAATACACATACACGTAATATTGTATATTTAAGTTCATATTTTCAATGCTTTAAGTTTTGTAAACTGTCAGCATGAAGCAGTACACTCTGAATTGATTAGACAGTTCCTTTTTCTAGGCAATTAAGATTTGGTAGGTTTTAAGTTGTCAGCTCAAAATCATTGTTACTGTTGGAATTGAGTGTTAACAGAGGTGTGAATGTTAAATTCTTATTGCTGCTTATCATGGTGTAAAGTTAATTAAATCAGTGTGCTTCTCTACATCAATAAGGTCAATGTTTGCTGACTCAACTACATATATTGATGTAGAATTCATGTAGTCATTTCTTCATAAATATGAAATTGTATCCCACTTACTTTTCAATAAGACGTGTTTGTTTAAAGTAGTTTCACATGGAAAAAGTACATCAAGTAAATTTCAATTCTAGCTGTTCAGCTACTGTTGTTATCCATATATATATACAGGTAGGCCAAAGTCCACATTTAATGTCCTATTTACATAGTTGTTCAAAATTTGTATAAACTACTTTCTTATGTCAATAAACTTGGTATCAAAACATAGTTTATAATTAAAATTTTAATATTTTACAAGTTTTAATTTCAGAAGGAAATATTAAAATAAATTCTCAGTCACCATTTTAATGTATTACGTGACACTTCATTACTTAAAACTTCCCATTTCAGTCTTTTTCCATCTCTATATTCCAGGCTTTTCAAGAGTTACACATTTGTACATTAAATATTCTTGAGCTAAAATGAAAACTTATGGCTTCCATTTATGCTTTAATGAGTAATGTGCCATAAACTGAAACTCTCACACCATGCTCCTCCTAGTGCATGCTGTCTTTATAAAATGTCAATACTTCTCTCTGATATTTGCTGTTGGGCTATTTATAACCAATTGAAAAAGAAAATTTTAATTAAATACTTTCTTTAAGAGGCTAGTTGTTCTACTTCGATTTCATAGTTTACTATCATTAAGATCACCTCGATCAGGTAAGGAAATTATCTTAACACACATGTAGCTTAGTTAGAAACTCGGTTAAATTATAATAGTTTTAGGACATCGTTTTTTTTGTTGGTTGTTAATATTTTGTTTCTAAATTGCATATTTAAAATAAATAAGAATGAGTAAAGTTCTAAAAACACCTCTATAAAAGAAATAGGGTTAACTTTCATTGAGTCTTCGAGAGCAAAAATGTATGAGACCCAAATTAAAGTACTGAATTACTTGTTTTTTTTGTCTATTTTTATTTATTTTTATAAAAGAACTCGAATGTAAAAATCAAAAACTTATTAAGGTTGTTTATACAAAGCTTCCCTGCTGTAATAATTTGATTTGGCACTAATTTAATTTGCAGTAAAGTAATAACTCTAAACAATCAAGAGATTTGAATTATATTAGCTTTGGCTGTAAGAATAGATAATATGTACTTGTCTTTAAAAATATGCAGTCATTCTAGAAAAAAAAGGGGGTTAATTTAGTTTTATTTCATAATTTGTTGTAGTGGTTACAGGGTTGGTCAAATGGACCAAGCCCATATACAGTGTTGTGACAGAAAAATGCAGATAACATCTAAAGTTTTACTGGATAAAAACTTTTGATATATATTTAAGAGGCTCTAGAAGTTATGCAAATGAAATTCTGAAATTGTAAGATGAAAAGTACTTTTAATCTTAATGTTAAATCACCTTGCACTCGGACTAATAAGTCTAAATTTGTTGCCATAAATTCAGACAAATACTTAATCAAAATAACTGGTGTTTACTGAAAGCTAACCAAGTTTTGTGAAGATATGCATAATGCATTGAAAGTTATAGTGTGTATAGTTTCATGGTTATATTAGCAAGGTTGGGCAAAATGACCAAACCCATATAAAAAAGGGTTAAAAAGGATTTCAAAAGTTTTATTCTTGGCAAAAAAAATACCATTTGAAATGCTAATTGAACTTCTCAAATTGAATAGTGAGTAAAGATACCTTGGTATTCTGAATAAATAATATTATTTCAAATGAAATTGGTTTAAAGTATTTGATTGCAACACTATAAAGTTAACACTTTAACAATTATTTGTTATTAGCATATTACTGTCATGTTCTACTTTAATTAACCATTGTTATTTTTTGTGACATTTGTGATTGGTCCAAAATTAGGCATGAAGATATTAGTTAATAAAGAAAAGGGTAAGACATGTTATATACAACTGTTTTACACGAGAGAAGGAAAAACTTTGAATGTTACACTTACATTTTCAAATCACATTCAGATTACTTAGCTGTATTCAAAAGTTTTGATCATATATATATATATATATAATGTATGTATGTAAGTATCAACTGCAGTATTTGTTTTCAGAACTTGCAGCTTCTAGCTATATCTTAGATACCTTACTTATTAGCAGACATTGTGCACTTGTGTTAAGTATCATTACAACTTTTTATTTTAAGATTTCCCTGTGTTTTTGAATAGTTAGTTGTGTGTTTTTGAAATGTTGAAAACAATTTTATTGATTCAGATAGGAATAAAAATAAGAAAATTATTTTGTTTTAAGTTAAACATATCATAATATAAATTTTTTACATAAAACTAAATAGTCTTTATGTAGATTATAATGAAACAAAAGTTTAACTCTGTTTAAGCCCCCAATGTCTCAGTGGTGGTCAGAGCACAGATAGTTTATTGTATAGTTTTCTGCTTAACAACAACCAAACCAAATTCTGTTTGAAAACATTCGAAAAAATTCATAATACTGAATCAATGTTTAAGGAAATGGATCGAAAGTACATCCAGAGGCCCATAATATAATATTGCTGCACTCTTGCTTGCATCTATGAACTCCAAGAATTCAAAATATATTTAAGTACATAGAATCAGTTTTATTGTAACTTGCACTTCTAATATTTAATTTGAATTCATTTTTATCTTCTCAAAAAGGAGCTAATTCCTTTTCACCCATTCTCTGTGCTAGAAATTACTTTAAAAAAATTTAAAGTAAAATTAATAATTGTAATGCTGTTTCAGCAATTTTCAAGTTAAATATTTTAGAAGTAATATTTTGTCATTTATTTACTTAGTGTAATTTCAAAGGAAAATGGAAACAATTTTCAAACTTATATTCCTGCAAAGCTCTGAGGGGTTTCACCTGTAAACAATTCACTCACTAATTTTTTAGAAAATTTTTCTGCTCATTTCAAACCATATATTTTAATTTTCTAAGAAATTATTATCCTTTCAGGATTCAGCTTGCATTTTAAAATCTTGTTTCTCTCTTAATTTTTTTTCTTTGTGAGAGGTTTTATTATTTGAAGGATTATGGTCTGAGTAAATACTAACAATGCCCAGTTTTTAAAGTATTGTTACGACAGTGGAAGTCACATGACGCTGGTAACATGTCATGGGATTCTGGAAGGATCGGGGAACATCACGAATAATCCAGTATTTGCTAGGCACCCTCTATTCTTGTATATAAGTGTGCCAGATAAAGCGAGACAATTTATCGGGATTGAATAGCG